CTGTGTCCTCTCTAGATTTATTAATCATGTCTTGCACCATGAGCAAAATCTTTGCTGTTATCTGAGTAATTATTTCTGATTTCATTTTTGCCAGATCCTCTTTTGTTGCCGGTTCAGAGAGTCCAGCTGGTTGAGTATCAGATTGTTCCATCTCGTTTCCCTTTGGGGTTGCTGTAGGTGATCCAGAAGTCTGTTTTTGAGGCTTGTTTATGTGTGTTCTCATTTCCACCGGGGATGTTGGGGGTGCTTCTGGCGCCCACGCGGCTCACCTTCTCTGCCCTAGGAGCATGGGATGGAGGCGGGGAGCTTCCTTCCTGGTGCTAGGACTGGCTGAGCTTCACTCTACACTCCCTCTTTTGAGTACAAGGCTGAGGAGTTATCAGGAACTCAAAAATTACAATAGACCCCATCTATGGATTACTGTCTACCCATGGATCAGTTCTAGGATGTTCCCCTTTTTGTTACTTCTGACCCTCTGAGTGGCCATGCCATCTTGTATTTCTGGTGCCTTAGGGTTGTGGTGCCCTATAATTTGGCAGCCTTGGGAACACAGTAAGAGGTGTGAATGGCCTCAGCCATAAAGAGCCTTCAGCCTGGAAGATTCTCCCTGGGCAATAAACAAGCAGTGGTACCTAGAGCCATCACCAATGGTGATCAGAAGTTTTGGGGTCTGAGGGTCTGAGATCTTCATAGAAACAAGCACAAGATCTTTGGTACAGTTTTCCAGTGACCTTCCATTTTGCCTGAGGATGATGCTGGCCAGTCTCCATCCTGACTCAGTTTCTCCATGTTGCCCAGTGCCAGGTCCATGTTCAGTCCCAGCACCCAGTCACTACTCCTTTACTTTACACATGCGTATAACTAATAAAAGTTTCCTCAATGTCTTGCTGGCTTCCATAACATTTAAAATCACTATCTTTTATGTAAATACAATGACAAAATTGTAGTTGCATGTAATGAGATACAACTCTTCTGTACACAACAGCACATGGCAACCACTTTCATAAGATTGAAATGCTGGTTGTGCTCTGTGTTAGTTACTTTTCTCTCCTTGCTGAGACAAAATACCTGACACTTAAAGTTAGATGGGAAGGGATTTATTTAGCTCACATTTCATGGAGGTGTTAGTCCTTAATCAGGTGGCTCCAAGACAGGAATGGCAAAGAGGCCTTGCAGAGGAGAAACAACATGGTGCACACAGGCAGCAAAGGTAAGAAGGTAGTTTAACAGCATCTTTCTGCCCCTTTTACCTTATTCAGACCACCAGGATCAGGGTGATGCCAAACTATTCACTCCCATGTAGTGGTTTAGTAATCATATGCCCTTAACCCCAGCATCACACATTCCGGATTCAACTACCTCTGAAAAAGAAAGTCCCACCTCATCCACATGAGGCTTTGGGGGGACATCTAAACACAAACCATAACCTTCTCACTCTTGTTATCCTATAATTTAAGTGCTACAAGATATCAAGTATTAAAAATGCTTAAATTATGTGTTTTGAAGTTAATTTTGTTATATAAAAAAAGAGATAAAGTGGAAAATAAAGATCTGATGCATACACAATCAATAACAAGAAATACGACAATCACAGTCCTTATTTCTGTATCTTTTCACACAATCATAGATGATTTTTATAGCCACTCATTCTTCCACTAACTCCTTTGCATCAGAAAGCAGCTCAGCTCATTGTGGTTCTTTCTCAGGTGAGATGACTCCAAACTTTCTTTCCTGAGAGTTTTTGGATATTCCACTTCCCGAATTCAGTTTGTATTACATTTAAGCTGCTACAACAAAATATTGAGCAAACAGCTTAAACAACAGAAATCTACTCACAGTTCTGGGAACTGAAAATCCAAGTTTAAGCTGCTAGTGGGATCAATGTTGTGTTAAGGCTTCTGAATCGTTAGCAGAAATTATTTCATAGCGGGTCATAAATGAATGCTTGTTGAAGTAAAATAGGTTCCATTCTATCCCTAGATGACAAAACCCTGGAGACATTTCACAGTGATGGCTATCACTGCAGGATTGAAGAGGCCTCTCGTTTCAGTGGTTTCTCCTATGGCCAGGCTTGCTTGACTGTTCTTTCCAACTCCCCTCAGATATGTATCATCATTAACTTAGATTTGAGTCCACTGTATAGAGTACAAGCTAGTAACCTATTTGGGTAGAATATATCCCCAATACAAATTACACATGTACCTGAAATTCGTAGATACCCAGCCTAAGTATTCAGTCTAATCCTTCCAACAGGAAAAGAATCCACACAAACTCCAATTCTTAGTAAGATAAAAGGGCAGAAAGATGCTGTTAAACTCCCTTGTTGCCTTTGCTACCTTGTGAGCACCATGTTGTTTCTCCTCTGTGATGCCTGTTTGACATTCCTGCCTTGGAGCCAGTTGATTACTGGTTGAAACCTCCATGAAATGTGAGCTAAATAAAACCCTTCCCCTCTAACTTTGGGTGTCAGATATTTTGTCTCAGCAAGGAGAGAAAAGTAACTAACACAGAGCACTAACCCCACTCTGATCTTCTGAAAATGATTACTGTGTGTTGTTGTATACAGAACCTCCAATTCATCAAGTGAGGAAGTCTAGTTTCAAAAGCTTGTGTCCAAAAAAAAAGAATTTAGTCCTTGTCCTCATACTTTCCCTTGTGCTAAAACAAAACAGGGAACTGTGCTGGAAATCAATTTCCACATGTGTAAAAGAAGAATCAGAATTAGAAAGTGCTTATTTTAAACACATGCTCCATAGAGTAACTGAGGCAACAATTATCACATTACTATGGAGAAAATAAGTCTTTCTCTATGACTCCTCCAAAATTTTCTGCTTTGGTTGAGTTATAAATCCAGGCAGATTCCCACTAGGCAAAATACAGATTTGATCTATTGACTAAAATAATTTCCATTTATTTTGTAATTATTCGTTGAGTGTATATTATGATAGAAATGTTCTATGGATTGCTAGGAACACTGCAAGTACTGGGAATACAGTGTTAAGCAAGACAGACCCTAATCTATTCTTCAGTGACCTAACAGAGAAGAAAGGGAAAAGATATTTTAAAACCTAAATATACATGTAATCATCATATCAAAGTTGTGATGTCTTAAAATTAAAAATAAACATGTGATGAGAATGTACACAAGAGCTACTAATCTAGTTTATAGGATTAAATGAAATATCTAAGCAAGGAATTTTTCTGTTTTTGGTACTGGGGATCGAACTCAGGTCCTTGTGCTTGTGAGGCAAGGGGTGGAACCACTGAGCTAAATCCCTGGCCCTAAGCAAGGAATTTTAATTGAAGCCTAAATAGGAGTTGCCAAGCAAAGAATTGTGAAGAGAAAGGACAAAGAGAAATTCCATGTATTTGAGAGAAACTACAAATTTGAAAGTTTTATGGCTGAATTGTCATAATTTATTAACAGTTACTATTATGAGTCTTCCCCATGGGGGTCATTTTCACCAACTTCTTCAAAATATAGAGCTAATTTAGTAAGATTACAAAAACATTTTTTTTTCAATTGAGTATGTAGGAGAGACAAGGAAGATTAGGACATAAGACAATGGGTAAAATAATGAATCTAAGATGTATAGAAGAGAAAAAAATAACTAAGGGTAAAGCCTTGGTGGAAGAGATTTCTGATGAACTATAAACGTGTAAAACGTGTTGAGGATATATAGTGTGTCAGATATTGTCACTGGACAGAATGTAAGAACATGCAAAGGGCTAAGTTTCAGCCTTCATGGAGCATATGAAATTGGGGCTGGAGAGATAAATACATTAATAAATATGGAAGGTTTTAATAGTGGCATAAATAAAGCAGCCCTGGCATGGGTATCTTCTGAGCTGCCAAAGGGGATTGCAGACAACAAAGAAAATGTCAGCACATAGGCATGCAGTATGCACACTGGATCACATATCAGAATGCCAAATTTATTATTTTCTTACACATAACTTAATGTGTTCCTCATGACTGAATGTAAGGCTTTATTTCCGATGGATATTTTAGGCAATTTTATTTTCCTGGGTCAGTTTCCAAAGAGGAGTGTGGATGGTTCCCACCCAATTCCACCCTCAAACACCATACCTATGACAAATTTTATTTTGCATGAAATAACACGATGCTAAGTGTGACAACACAAAAGAGAAACATCTCTACTGAAATTACTTGTTCAAAGGAGTCAGGAAAGTGCAAATGAAGTGTAAAAAGAAATCTAAGTTAAGTGATATTAATAACATGTAAGACAGTTTCACAAGAAGTTTCCTTTTTCATTTAACCCTTTATTCCCCACAATGATCTTTTAAAAGGATAATTTTTATACATAATCCTGAAGACAAGGGAATCATTGAAGAGTTACAAGGTGCAAAGTGACACAATCATATGTGAACTGTAAAATCCTCACTGCTTTTACAGAGAGAATGAATTAACTGGAAGGGGCAAAGTTGGAACTCCTTCAAAAAGCACACTTTGAAATACTCTGAGGGACAGGTAATGGCTCTTTCAATGCTCAATGTCACATTACAAAGCTCTGTATATCTCCTGGAATGACATAAGATAATCTCAAACTTAAATATCCAATTCAAATGTGGAGCTAATTTTGTTGGTAGGTAGTATAGAAGGAATGAAATGTAACCCACAGCTTTTGGGGTTGACATTCATGTTTTTTTCATGGTGCCATTTACCACAAAGGAAGACATAAGAGAAAAAGAACTTCTGTGAGGAGCAACGTGATTTGAATGCAGGAGTGATCTGCCACTGAGCTAACTCCCCAGTCCTTTTTATTTTTTTTTATTTTGAGACAGGATCTTGCTGTCTTACCCAGGCTGGTCTTAAACTAGGGTGGTCATGCCTCTGTCTCCCAAATTGTTGGAATTTCAGGCACCTGACTGACAAAGCTTTTTAAAATGAGGGCAGCGACTTTCAGGTCAGCTTTAAAGAAATTAACTTGGAGGAATTTATAAGCCATTTGTTTTAGTAGATTCCTAGGAAGTGTTCTTAGAGTTCAGAGTTCAAAATCATACAGAACTAGGCTTAGATCCTACATCTATTAATTATCTTTCTGTAATCTTTATAAGTTCCTGTCTTTTCATCTCTGAGCCAAATTAGCTAATATTAGTCTTTCATAATTATTTTTAATTAAATATATTAATGTTCCTACAATAAAATCAAGGAGTTGTAAAAAAGAAACAAGTTTGACTTTTCCTGCAATATGCAATCGAAGTACATAGGTACAAAAATAAGCAACTCCATGTAATCTGAAGTGCATAACAGAAAAATACAGCAATTAGAAGACTCGAGAAGAGACATTAATGATGTATATAGCATCTGTACTAAAGAACCATGAAGCTGTAAGACTGATAATTATAGTAGAGAGAATGGATAGCTACTTAAGATGAGGCAAGTGCCACTGAGCTAAATTCCCAGCCCAAGGCTTTGGTTTTAATTCAAAAGCTGAAAAAAATTTAAAAAAAACCTTAATGGTGAGCTGCATGTCAGGAAGTATTTATCCTTGAAATATCATCAAATTTAGTAAGATGAATAAAAATATTAGCATTGGTGCTTTTCGGAACCCATCATCTTTCTCACAAAAAGGGTGACATAACTACCTAAAGAAAACCCTTGATTTTCCACAAATGAAGATTTTCTTTCCCCTCTTTCTCTCTTACCTATACTTCATACATGGGCAAAATGCTTACATCTCAAACTTAACAGATTTATCTTTGTCTTCACATGTTACATAAAATTTCACCAAATCAATCTCATTTCAATTTCTTCTTCAGTGTCCACTCAGTGTGTCTTCTTCAAAGAGGATAAATTTGTCTTGGATCTGCTGGGGCTTCACTCCATAAACACTCTCCGGGACAGTCTTCACCTCTATAGTACACATCCAGAGGGAAGACGTGACCCAGGTTCCTTAGGATGTGGGGAAGGATAGCAAGGAGATGCTGGTTTGCAGAAGGATACTGGTAGATCATAGAAAAAAATCTTAGGTCCCAGGACATGTCCTTTGAAAAGCTCAGTCCCTGTAGCCATTAATGAATCAGTAGCAGGTAATTTACATACAGTGCATACAGTGCAGTGAATACTGCATTCCTGATGTACTTGCAGGTGACATGATGAGTATAGACCTTTTAGAGCTTTCAAAGATATAAATAGCCTGCTGCCGCACATGTGCCATAGATTTGGCACCACTGGTATAGACTGGATGGTTATGACCTCGACCTTTGAAATCAGACAGAATTTCATTAATATAACAATGTCGCTCCTCAACGGTCTGGGAGAGTTGACAGAACCACTTCTCATCCTGTTTCCTTCAACTTTTTAGCCCTGAGACATTGGGGTAATATCTAATAGGCTTATATCTTCCTTCCTTCTTCCTTCTTTCTTTTTTTTTTTTCTTTTTTTGAGGTAGGGTCTCATTAAGCCCAGGCGGGTCTGAACTCACCATCCTCTTGCCTTGGGCCCCTGAGTGCTAGGATTGCAAGCATACATCACCACCTGTGATGGTGCATTCTTTTTTTTGAGACAGGGCCTCACTATGCACTTCAGCTCCCTATGTAGCCCAAGCTAGGTTCAAACTTGCCTCCTCCTGTCTCTGCTTCCCGAGTGCTGGGGTTAGAGGTGTGCACCACCACACCCAGCTTCTATATTCTTTTTAACTGCCTGACAGAAATTCCTTTTTCTTATGATATTTTTGAAAATTAACTGAGATAAAGAAACTGTATGTAAATATCTTTATGTAAATGACTATTACAGTTCTACGTGTGTTGGGTGTATGAGTACATATATATATATACCATTATGTACAAGTCCCAGGTCAAGCATGTTCTTTTTCATTCTGGTTGGGCTCTATAAAAATTTATAAAGCATACTTTCTCTAATTTATAAAGTATAATTCTCGAAGAATAGTTGATGCCTTTGTTCTCCTGAGTTCATTTTTTAAAAATTGTTTTTTTAAAAAAGAAAAGAAAAGTGCATGGGCTGGTAACTAAAGTAGTCGTTCAAAAAATGTCCTGACCACTAGAAGACTGTCCCTTATAACAGCTGTTCCTAGAAATGGCTTCTTATATTGGACAGATTATGGAAACTCATTCTTTCAGAGTTTTCTGACCCATTCATCATAAAAGGCTTTAAAAACAGTACCAGCCTCAGTATAAAAAGTTGTATAAAACAAAATTTAAATAGAGTAGTCTTGACAGCAGAATCTAAAACTTGAAAAATGAAACTTCAGTAGAAACATTATTATTATGAAGGCACAAAACTGTTGCATAGGACAATAATCTAGCATATCATTTCCAGTACTCACAAATGTAATTATTTATTAGTACGTACTGAATACTTTAAATAGATATTTTACGTCTTCTGACATTTGGTTCCTCACAATGAACTTGTTAGGTGCAATTGTAAATCTCAATTTGTATTTTAGAAAAAACAAACTCAGAATTTATCCATGACTAGAACTTCACACGGTTTATGAAAGAAGAGACAGGATTTGAACTGAAATACTCTGGATATAACTCTGGGTATGTCCACTGCTTATGTTTGTTTTCTTTTCCTGGATGCCCAGATGAACCTGGGATATCATAAACTGATATTTGTTCAAAGACTCTTAAGTTGTCGTGGTGGAGTTCATGAGGGAGATTCCTATGGACTATCCTAAATAATACTGATAGGTAATAAAGCTAATAGGCTTTGCCAAGTATCTTCAGATCAGGGATCAAGAGAAATATGGAGAACTGTGATGTTACACCAATACAGACACAACTTTGGGAGGGATTGATGTCTGAGACCATGAAGAAGAGTAAATATGCTTCTCTTCTAATTCAAGCAAAATACTCTGGACATCTCAAGGAAGAGTAAAAGCTCCGAAGTACAGAAGGGAAACCACAAGGAAGAGGTGGTCTGAATAGTACAGATGTGCTCTGACACCAGAGACGAGGCTTAAGACAGGAGTACTCCAAGTAGATGAAGGAATGAGAACATTCAGGAGCTTGGTGGGCACAAAGTCAAGGGAGCTGGACAGTTCCAAGGATTGAAATATGGATAAACGGGCCAAGAATAGGAACATTTACAGAATGTGTAGATGAGTGACCCATGGTTTGTGATGTTGAAAAATGAGACAGTGCCTGCTTCAAAGTTGAGGAAAATCCCAACTCGATGAAGAGGAATAGCCACAGAGAGGGTCAAAATCTTAGGATCAAAGGTAGACGTTTCATCAAAGGCGTAATACTCAAATTTCTTCTGTAGCCCTATAACCCAGTAGCCATACCGAGGTCTGTATCTAGAGTAATTATTTGAATGGGTTGTGCTTTGACTAACGCCAAACTTTTTAGAACGTTTTCTACAGTATACTCCCAGGATCCAGGCAGTCTTGTTGGATATGTCTATTTCCCAATAATGTTTCTCTGAGGAGAAATACTGGGAGCCTAAAATACCATAATTATAACATTTAAATGGCCAAATTGGAACAGGTCTCACTTGTCTGTGATCTTCCGAAAGGACAAGATTCAAATTTAGGTTCACTGGATTCAGTGTAAAGTCCACTGCAGGAGAAAAAAGAAAAAGAAAGATCAGGTGACAGATATGAAGTAGGTTCATCTGGTGACACCGCGAAAAGGAACCTGGGGACATTTTGTGTGGATGGATTCAGGGAGGAAGTAAATGCTAGAGAAATGCATTGTGCATATATGAGAACACTTCAGACAAGATGATAAAATCTTGTCGAAACCACAAAGTTCCGAAAGGTGATTGCAGTCCACAGTGATTTTTTTGTGTGTGTGTGTGGCGGGGGGCGATACTTGAGACTGAACTCAGGACCTTTGCACTGAGCTACATCCCTAGTCCTTTTTCATTTTTTTTTTTTTTTTTTGAGAGATGGTACCACTAAGTTCCCCAGGCTGGGCTCATACTTGTGATCTTCCTGACTTAGTCTTCCAGGATTACTAGGATACCGAGAGTGGTAGTACACAGAGATCTGAAGACCCAACAGCTTCTTACCCCAGTAGCCTTGAACATCTTTTAACTCTGAAATGAAAAAAGATTCAACACTTTTGATTAGAAGCAAAAAAAAAAATTAGAACACTGATACTTCTTCTCTGAAGTAGAGGCTAAGGAGTGAGTATTGTGACAATATGCACTGGTAAATGAGAGACTGAATCAGACACCTAAACCATTTGCAGACATAAGTGCAGCCTCTTCATCACAGAACACCTCTTCTCTGATCTCCCTCCTCAACTCCATCTTTACTTTACAGCTATCCCAGTTCCCTTGATGTCACAAGTATCCCACATCCACTCTCTTCCCTCAGCTCCCTTCACCTCTAAACATCCACAGCATCCTGCTCAGGTCTGGGGCGTGAAATACACTCTTCAGCTTCTTGGAAGGAGTTTTTGGCTTCTTCAGTGTCCAGATCTCACTCCTAGGGATGACAAAACATCTTGAGCTGCACATTTTGCTTGTTTCTCTCCAGCACTACCTGCTTACTCTCTTTCCACATCCTAGATGTATTTTATACCTCTTCTCTGGGAAGGCCGAGGGAAAGCCTGACTCTGGATTGAGGAGAAATATGCTTGTGTGAATTATGCTTCCACTAACCTTCTGCGTGACCTAGGAAGGCCTCCATCTCTTGAAAGCACAATTCCCTCTTCTAAAACTAGAATAATTAACCCTTCCTTTGGTGTTTGATGGAAATAATACAAAATTAGGTGAAATTATACATAGAAAAAGCCTTTGCCACCTCTAAAAAAGTTATGTGATGTGGAAAAGTCATTGTATCTCCGTGGATCTTCCAGGGAAGGACAGAGATGTGGCACTCTAAGCAAATCAATAGTAGACTGTAGATCTTGACTGTGGTGTGAGATTCGTATTGGAAACCTGTGAGTCTGTGTATTAATCCAAAGCTGGGACACCACTGGTGGTCTATATAAGAGATTTCACATTGCCCTTTAATACATAAAACAAGTATCAAGTAATGAAGGTTGCAGAATTGGATGCAGGGACATAAGGTAAATTAAACGAGTGAAGTCACAGAAGTCTGATTGTGAAACCTCTAATCCCCAATATCCTTTTTGGTTTTAACCTTGAACATTAACCACCAAATTCTAGCACAGAAATCTGTTCCATTCTAAGTAGGTATGGAACATTCAAGTCCTCACCTGTGACCACCAATTTAAGACAATATGACATCCAGATTTTCCTGATCTGGTAGATTTTTTTTCACTCTGATCAAAATATTTCTAATGGCTACAAATGTTTCTTTATAATCCCAAAGCACCATTCCTGGTTACCCATACATACCATTTCATAATTCCACTCATGTCCTAGGAAAAAGAGAGACAACATGAATCAACAAGGATGAAAACTAGAGCAGGACTAATGAAAAAAAAAAGAATAAAAAACAAGAGAGAAAAATCAGAGAAATAAAAAGTGAGTCATTTAAAAGTTGTCAAATTTTTCTTTAGACACATCAAGAGAAAAGAGAAAGGAAGTGAATTATTCAAGTCACAAATGAAGTATGGGACATTACAATTGATCTTAGAAAAATTAAGACTGACAAGGGACCTGGGATGTAACTCAGTGGTAGAGCCCTTGCTTGGCAAGTGCAATGACCTGGGTTCAAATCCCAGTATAACACACACACACACACAACACACACACATATACATACACAGACACACACACAAATTGTAAACTATGAACATTTGTGTACCAACAAATTAGATAATCTAGATGACATGAACAAATTCCTGGAAGCATAGACACTATCAATACTGATTCAAAATGACAGAAAATGCGAGTAGACTTAAAATATGTAAAGAGGTTGGACTGGAAGTCACAGATTTTTTACAAAGAAAAATCTAGACTCTGATGGCTTCTGATAGTGAATTTTGCTAAAAGTTTAAAGATATATTAACAATATCTCAGAAATTCTTCCAAAAATAAAAGAGGAGGGAACACTTTCCAAAGAATTATATGAGGTCAGTCCCACCTGGTACTAAAATCACACAAAAATAACAGAAGAAATAAAAACTATAGGCCCAAATTCCTTATGAATATAGACACAAAATTCTTCATCAAAATAGTAGAAAACTGAATACAGCAAAATAAAAAAAATTCTTGGCCATTATAATCATGGCCAAGTAGGATTTAGCCAAGAACTAAAGATTTGTTTTAGCATAAGAAAATTTAGATAATGTAACATAGTAATAGAATCTAGAATAAAAACCACATGACAATCTCAATAGACAGCAGAAAAAAATATGACAAAATTCCACACATTTCATGACACAGTGAACCCTTGAATTACAACCGGCCTGACACAGGAACAACTTGGGTTACGATCAGAATTTTAGTTTTAAATTACAACAAAAGTCTTGACTTACAACCCAAATCATGGATGCTTGTGCTTCCAGATGGTCTCAGATACAGATTTAACCCTTAAAGAGTTCTGGAAGGAACATTACAACATCCTTTCCTGTGTGGGGTTGAGAAATCCTGGGCCAGTGTTTCTCTAAGGATACTGAGATCTGCCTGGATACAGGAGAGAGACTTTGAAGGCTGTGTAGAGGAGCTTGAGTCTTCATTGACTAACTTGAGTTACAACCAACCCTCGGGAACAAATTGAATTCGTAAATAAAGGGTCCACTGTAAAAACAAAAGTGGAAAGGTAACAAACTCAGAACCAAAAGGAGCTTTTTCAACCTAACAAAGGGTTTATACAAAATCCCATAGTTAACATCATACATAATGGTGAAAACCTGAATGCTTTTCCCCTAAGATCAGGAAAAAAGCTAGAATTTTTGCTGTCCCTATTTCTATTCCACATGAAAAATGATGATCCATATAAAGGAAAGTGATAGACTATGTTTCCAAAGCATCAGGTTTGTTGCTCATTCCCACCTGCAGCAGTTCCACTGCTGACCACTGACTCCGAAGCTCCAGATCTGAGATGAGCTCTTTTACCACCTGGCTCTGCTGAACTAGCTCATCCTCAGCCTGTGCCAAATGATCCAGTGTCTTCTTTTCTTCCTCCTCCAATCTTTGCAGTTCTCTCTGTTCCTCATTGTCCAGGATTCTTCTAAGCTGATCAAATTCTGTCTGTATTCTTTGTCTCTCAGTCTGTATCTGATACTGCCAGGATGGACAGAAAGATGCAATGCACCTGTCAGACTGAGGGTCTACTGGGCAAGATATTAGGAGCCAGGCGGGTAATAGTTTTCAGGGACTTCAAACTAGGAGGGGTGCACAAGCAAGAGAGTAATTTGAGAGGAGCTATTTTTTAATTTTTTCTTTAGCAGCTACTCAAAGAGTGCCTCCACCTAGGTCTAGGGGAACCCTCAGAGAAACCGTAAAATGAGGTTTGGGTTGAAGGTAGTTGTCCTGGGCACTATGATTCCCTGCATTATCATGTTACCCATTTTAAACCAGGAAAACTTTTGTCTTTTTCCTAGTGTCCTCCCACAGAAGTGTGAGCGCATTCTTGGAGAAAAGAAATAGAAAAGTGTTCTTCAGCCTCATCCCCATCATACAGTCCCAGTTGGTGCTCACCTGCAAGTGTCTGTGTATACCTATAACATGCCTGCTCTCCAGTCTCACCCATACAGGACAAAACAAAGAAGAGAACTAGTCAAATGATGTCTGGACTTGCTAAATATCAAAGAATAAAGATGAAGGGACTACTTAGATTAGAACCAAAGGTCCTGCCAAGAGTCCTGTCCCTGAATCCCTCATCTTGCCTTCCAAGAAATTCTGTCTTCTCTGATGTCAGCTTGCAACTTCTCAGCTTCTTGTTGCTCTTTCCTCAGCCTCCTGAGAGCAGCCTGGAGTTTCTCCTAGAAAAAAGAAATCACACCAGAGTCGAGTTTTGAGCATTCTCAGCAGCTGAATAGAGACTTGGCAGGAAAGAAATCAGGTTAGCATTAGAAGGACAGATTTTTAGAAACTTTGAAGTTGATTAGAATTTATGAAATGTGAGGAAATCTGAGGAAGGGAATGTGTTCATTATTGCTGAGGAAGGGAATTCATTATCTTTTCACCCACAGTAGCCTGCTCCTCTTTTTCCTCGGAGCATGCTGTGAGGGAAGTACTTCCCTCTTACCGATGCTCTTTCCATAGCCAATCTATAATGCTTCTCAGCAGTCATCCAGCCAAGAGGAGTAATGAGGGCTAACCTCAGGAAGAAATCCCTGACCCATACAATGAAGTGGAGGAGAGGGGACCCCAAATTTCCGACTCTTGCCAAGACACTGTATGTACATTAGGTTCACTCTTTATGTAAAAGGAAGGAACACACTGAAATGTACTCTAGGCATTGGAACCTGAATGTAGAATAAGAGACATACAGGAAAGAGATCTCAGGATTCTGTGCTATGGTGTCAATGTGAGTAAAGAAGGGAAAAAAAAAGATGAGACTTCTTACCAAAGATGTGCTCTGTCCCCCCTTTAGCACCATACCTGACACTCTTTGGCTACCTTCTCCATGAGGAGCGTGTGGTGACCAGGGTGTTCCCCAGAACACTCGCAAAGCCAGCAAATGACCTTTCGATCCTCCTCACAGAAGAGTTGGAGTTTCTCTCCATGGAGTGCACAGAAATCTCTCTTCTTCCCAATGCCTGTGGTCAGCTTTGCATCCCTGAATTTCTCCACTATGTCAGCCAGGTGGCGATTAGCCCACAGGTTGCCGAGTGGGTACCTGACACCACACACAGGACAGCTGCTCTCCTTTCCTGAGCCAACTGCTGCCTCCTGGTTGTCCACAGTGATGCAGGCTTTGCAAAGCCTGTGACCACAGCCTAGACTCAAGGGTTCTGTCAGCAGCTTTAGGCAGATGGGACAGGTCATCTCCATCTCTAGGTTCTCCAGGATTTGGAAAGCCATTATACTTCTTCCTGTCCTAACTTCTAAAGTTCTTCTTGCTTAAAGATTTCTTGATGTCTAGGACGATTAAAAAAGAATGGCATCAGAATGGTATAAATAAGGAGGAGTCTAGCTGTGCAGACATTAATAACTGGCCAATAGCACACAATTAAAGAATAAAAAAGGAAGGGGAGAAAAACGATAAGCAGCATTCAAAGGCCCGGGCAAGCTATTAATGCCTGAGAACCTTTGCTGACCCTTCCCTATTATTTGCATGGTTTCTTTTCATCTTTGACTCAGCTTTCTCCTTACACATCCCCTCATGAGATGGGCCTGCTCTGACTTACCTATAGCACAAGCACAAATACATTTGGTGTACAGTTGTTATCTTTCTTTTATCATTCTAATATCTATCTTTATGTCTATTTCTCTTCATAAAATATAATTTATGCATAAATTAGGCATTTTTCTCCAAGTGCTTTATCCCTAGTGCCTTGAATGCATAGGAATACAACATTTGATAACTATAAAAAGAACCTTTCCATCTCTCTATAGATAATTAGATCTTTCTTATTAAGGTTGTTTTTTTTTTTAATCTATTATCAGTCTTCTAATAGCTGAGCTTTGGTGTCACAGATGTGGCTTCCACTGAAGAAGTATTTATCTTCTAACACACCTATCTAAACAGATCCTTCTTGTGTTCTTACTCACTTCCCAGAGATGCCCATAGAAACGGGAATGACCACAATATAGAGACAATTTTAGCACTAAGAGTTTTATAATCGATTTACAATTTAGAAATCATTTGATTTACTTATTCCTCATATGAAAATTCTTGAGAAATAAGTCTTCTCTTTTTTTCAGATGCATAACTGCTATTAAAAGACTTAGAGCAAGTGGTGGCGAATGAACCTATGGCACGTGTGCGCAGCAGTAAACTGTATCATTGAAAACTCTGACAGATTCACCATCACTGAGTATTGCTTCAGAGTATCAATCAACACAATGAGTAGAATTAGGGTAAACGCAATGTCCTCAGGTCTTACTTCAAACGTATGCATGCTACCTCACATATGGACAAGCAAAGCCAGAGTCTAAAAGAAACATATTCATATTTAGTTTTGTAAGTGGAGAAATGGAAAGATCCAGATAAGTTGGCAAGTTTTTTGTTGTTGTTGTTTTGTTTTGTTTTTTGTTTTTGGTACTGGGGATCAAACTTGGGACGTTCCACTTGTGAGGTGGGAGGCGGAAGCACTGAGCTAAACCCCTGGCCCATATTGGCAAGTTTTGAGGGATCTTATATTGTAGGTGGTAGGATTTCACCCTGGCCTGGAAATATGTAAAAAACAATTTTTTTTCTTTCTTTTTTTTTTTTGTTTTGTCAGACAGGGCCTTGCTATGTAGTTCAGTCTGGCCTTGAACTCATGGTGATTGTCCTGCCTGATCTTCCTGAGTGCTGAGATTACAGGCCTGTGCCACCACACCCAGCTGTCAAAGATATTGATAGAAGCCTAAAGGTTTGCTTTGTGGCAAAGAGGAGAGAGTGTGCATAAATCATAGAGTCATATCCATTTAAATAGATAAGAAACAGAAATACCAGTAAGATAGCTCTTGATCCTATGAGAGAAGTTTCAATGGATACAGGGACACTCTACTAGGAAGAGATAAAAATCTGTTCTATTTCAACTTCACATCCACAAACTGAACGCCAATTATTTATTTATTGATTGATTGATTCAGCAAATTATTATTAAATATAGATAACCCTCAGTGATTAAAATTCTGGAAATGGATTGAAATCCAAAAATCAAAGTTGAATACAAGCAGATGATATTACTATAGTAAAGCTATAGTCACTCAAACAAGAAATAAATTAACTAAATAATCTTTCACAAAAATGTTAAGTGTCGAGTGGGATATATACCTTCCACACAAACTAATATGTTTTGGGGAAATCAAATCGTTTGTCAAACCTGGGAATATCCAAGAGAATCCTCCTTGAATAAGAGTTGAATTGAAAGCTGAATGCTAAGAAGGGAATATGGAATCATAAAGAGAAAGAACATTTTAAGGTAGAAGGAATCATACACATAAATGGCCTTTTGAGGGAGCACACAACATCTTGTTTTCTAAATTGCCAGTATGGCTGGTCTGCCAAGAGCACTGCTCAGTCTTTGGTGTCAATGATCCTGTGGGAAGCTGGGTATACAACACTTTCCAAATGATGAGTAACTGACCATCTCTTCTACTGAACAAAGAATGAATGATGGCGGGATGTAGGATAAGTTGATGAAGGAAATAGAAGCAGATGAGAGTGAGAAATCAGACAAGTTACCCAAAAATACTAGGAATTATATTTGGCCTGTGGGAGAATAAAAGGGATATGATCAAGCTTAAATATTTTCTTCCTGTAAAGATAATACTGATATTACCTTTACCCCATATTTAATTTCTTTTAAATTACTTTTCAATAAGCACAGACCTCAGTTTCCATAACAGGATCGTGACTCATTGCAAAATGCACCCCTTTAGGGCCCAAGGAGCTATCAAGGCAATCAGTCCATTGGAGCAAGATGTACTTCAGCCTTGTTAGTTTCACACACATCCAGCTGCTGACACAGAGGCTAAAAATCGCCCAAAGGCCAAATGCTATTATTAGCCTCTGGTGGACTCGGTCACTACGTAGGACCAGGTTCTGTTGACCAGCAAGACCAGGGTGCAATGATATCCACCTGTTCATGACTAAGGCCATGAACTCACCATAGGTGTGGGGTCCTGCTATCTTTTCCTCCACTCAGTATCTTACCAGTGCTGAGAAACACCGAGGACCCACAGAGGAGGAAGTAGTGGAACTTGCATTCTGCTATGAGGCTGTATCACATGTTCAGTGAGCTACAAGCTCATGTCAAAACAGCTGCCACCATAACAGTTAAAGAATGGGAAAGGTATGAAGGAGTTAGAGCCCCACATATGAACACTAAGCCCAAATCACTGCCTAAGAGTGTCCAAGCTCAGCAGCTGTCAGGGAAGTCTAGAAGGGAACATGAGTGGCCCCTGTCTGATAAAAAAAACAGGTTACCTAGCTATCAAGAGGTCTCTGAAATAAAAGTCTGCCAAATCTAAGAAGCCAGAGAACAATGAAAATCCGGAGGCTGAGTGTGGTGGCTCATGCCTGTAATCCTAGCACTTTGGGGAGGCTGAGGCAGGAGGATTGCTATGAGTTTGAGGTCAGCCTGGGTTACATAGTGAGTTCAAGGCCAATCAGAACTACAGAGTGAGACCCTGTCTCAAAAAACAAATACAAAAACAAAAACAAAAAACCGAGGAAGGGAGGCATAAGTTATTTACATTTAACTACTGCTAAGAGGGATGGAATCATGTCATACTGAGAAGGCTCTGGGATGGCTGGGCAGCCTCCTCTGAGAAGCAATTGTTACCTGGATTGGCTGGGACTACAAGGAGGAGGTGTGGCACCCAGGGAGCTGAGACAGGATTTCAGGTAAGATATTAGCATGCACTGAAGAATGTAATTTGTTTTTTTGTCCTTTGAGACCAATAGCTTGTTACTAATGAACTCCTGCTTGTCTCTTTTCACTCTCCAACACCTTTGTAATAAAATTTAGGACACCTTAGAACTTTTCCTTGTCACTACAACAGTGGTTGGGAGATTCCCTCTGACCCTTGACAGTTCTCCTAGTATCTGGACTCACGATGTCACAAGCTCTGTGTCTTTGTTTAGGCCACATGGTAAAATTAGAGTGTGTCCAGGAAGTCAAGCATAGGGAAGTTGGAGACAATATCTCTGGATCTGGCACTGCCAGTGAAGAAAGCAGGGGCTGTTCCTGGCACCCAGGGACCTGGAAAACTCAGAGAGACTGCACTACCCTCTGCCTGCCCCTTTCCTCTGTGCCCAGAGTTCCATCTTCAGCCACCCCATGGAGTCCAGGACTAATCTTTCCCACACGAATGACCCTTTCTCCAAGAGCTCTGGGTTTCCAGTTAATACATTTCAGTCATTTTTTAAAACATAGGACCATTTTCAGTAAGCAACCCCTACCCTCGTCCTGTTCGCTCAGTTAGTTCTTTGGAATATGCTGAGGGTGTTTCCTTCAAATTGGCTCCAACCACTTCTACTGCTCACTCTCTAATAGAAGCCACCAGCATCTCCTTCCCAGGTGCTAGGAAATTGTTTCCCCATTGGTCTCCTTGATCCTTTCATTGCCCTTCTTGTTCTCCTGTTGTTGGCTGGACCAGTCTTCTAAAAGCAGACATCAATTGTGTTACTCCTCTGTCCACACCCATGTCATCCAGAGTGAGGCCAGTCTTAATCAGTATCCAGCTAGGTTCAAGTTACAGATCCCCTCTTAGTGCAGCATCCTTCAGAGCCCACCTCCTGCTCCTCTCTACACACGCCTCCTCAACCCAACACTGTCCTCCTTTTAGCCCCAAGGGAAACCCCAACCCTTGTTAAAGCCTTTATGATTCAGACAGGCATGGTCCCTTCTGTCTGTAATTCCAGCATTCTGGGAGTCTGAGGCAAGATGATCAAGCTGGAGCCCAGCATAGGTAACTTAGTGATTTAGAAGTCTCTGCCTCAAAATAGAAAATAAAAATGGGCTGAGGAGGTAGCTCAGTCGAAGGCTCTGGGTTCAATCTCCAATATCTCTCTCACTCACACACACACACACACACACACACACACACACACATACACATTGATTCTATTCAAAGATTTTCTCACCGGGAAGTGGTCATGAAAGCTACTTAAAATTCAAAGAACTTTATCAGGTTTCTTCAGAGCCCTTACCTTAAATATAAGTTTCCACAGCATCAGATACTTTCTTGTATATTCTATCAATCATTTATTGTCTGCTTATTGTCATCCCATAACTAAAATGTAAGTGCTTATATGTATTTCATATTTATTCAATTTTGAATCGATATTCCAATGAATACTATTCACACCAGCAGTCTGCATTAGCACCTTTGAATTAAAATTTTTTATAAGTAAAGAAGTGCTCAACCCTGGGGAGACATTTGGAATCTGGGCAGAAGAGGGCCTTCTGCGGGGGTGAAGCGCAGACTCACAGCGAGGCCAGCACAGTGAAAATATGACAGAAGCACAGGCATCAGAATGTACCTAACATATATGAGAAGCAGAAAGTTAAACACTAGGAAGGCCCAGAGACAGGATGCTGGGGACTCTATGAAAACAAAGAAGATAGTTTGCTTCCCTCTATCTTTATTTTCTTAATCTTAGATACAGATAAAATCCAAACAATTTTATGGTTTCGAACTTTAGCCCATGAGAATGTAACCTCTTCTGAGTGCACTGATGAAGGTCGAGAACCCAGATAAAGTTCAGACCATGGGTGAAGAGTTGGTATAGACTCAAGTTCTCAAAAGAAACTAAATTGAAAATGTCCACTTTGGGAGTAAACAGAAAAGTTCTTCCCTCTGAAGTTGGTCAAAAGAGTGATTATCCTAGTAAAAGAATAATGACTTTGGAGGAAAGAAATAATATTACTTGACTACCCACTTAAGCCTACAAATGTAGCCTGAGCCTTAATCCCATGCAACTGTCATCTTGGTGCTTGCCCACCTTCACATGAAGGTGTGTTTTCTATCCCTTTGCAATAAACTTGCCTATGTGCTATGTGACTGCCTATGTGTCTTGTCTGAATTCTTTTGTCAAAGACACACACTCAACAAAACAAAACAAGGAGGGTTGCTGGTTCCTTGTGATGTTTGGAGCGTGTGGTGTTAGAATCTGGTTCCTGGTGACAATATCTATCAAGGTGCAGTTGTCCCCAAGTGAGCCTAAGATAGGCAATACTCAGAGACAACAGAGAAAGCCAGCTTCATAGTGAGGCTATTGAAACCTCAGGCTCTTTCTGAGCAGAAGCCAACTCTTGTTCGTTAGCTCTGACAAAGAAAACAAATAAATACAGGTAACAATCAGTACAAAGGTGTGCACAGCAGGAAAAATGACTGAGTTCTAAAGCAGATGAGGACACCAGAGTTCTATGCACTACTCAAGTAAGCGTAAATAAGCAAGTTAGGTGTGGTAGTGTGTTTTTAGTCCCAGCTAGTAAGAAGGCTGAAGCAGTAGGATCACTTGTGCCCAGGAGCTTGAGGTCAGCCTGGACAACATAGCAAGACTTGTCTCTTAACGGAAAAAGAGTAACAGGTTTAGTAAGAGCAAAGCAAGTTGAGTCCTGACACTGGAACCCCAGGACACAGGACAAAACGGGTCACAGAGCAGCAGCAGCAGTCAGGAGTTCAACCTGCTGTCCTCAGGCCGTCCAAGGGCTGAGGATATGTCAGGAAGGCCTGACAGTCCCTCCCTATCAGCTGAGGAGGGAAAGAACCTGCTTCAATCTTTGTCCTGGCTGACCCTCTGAGGCTGCATTGTGCCTCTGAAGCTTGGAAAGCAGGGGACTCACCTACCAGCTAACCTGAGTAGGAGAGGGGTCAGGAAGGAAGAGACTTTCCATTTACCTGGGGGGAGCAGGGAGAGGGAGCGAATGAATTCCAGTTTCCCTTCCAAGGAAAGAAAATTGAAATTACAGAATATGGAAAGGTGTAAGAATGGATTCAACACTTAGAAATAAGGGTTCCTTTGGAAATAGGGCCTTTGCCTCTTTAACATTTCCTTTTCAGCCATTTCCTCCCAATTCTTCAGGGCTGCCATCTGTCTGCACTTGAGCTTTTCTTGCCTTCAGAGAAAACCGATCTCTGGGCACAAATTAAGCTCCACCAACTTCCTTCAGTATTTTCGTAATGGAGTCTCCCACCCTCTGCACCTCCTCTCCCCCCAACTTCCCCACACACCTTCAGGCCCCAGTGGGAAAATCTTGACTCCTGGTTAACTTGCTGAAGAAGTCTGGGGTGGAATTCACTCACCCCAAAGGGCTTAGCCTGCCTGCAGTCCCTCCTTCCCTCCGGAGTTGTTGGCTGAGAAATGAAAGTGAAATGGAGCCGGCAGGAAGAGGAAAGAGGAAGAAGCCCCAGGGCCAAGAGCTGCAGTTCTTTCTGCCAAGAGAGAGGGCAAAATATTAACTCCAAATTCTCTCAGGGGGAGAATCGATTTGCACTGGAGGGGTTTTCCAATATCTGAAGGAGTTTCTGGGCGTTATAACTAGGGCTTGGTACTGACCTCTGGTGGGTAGGGGCCAGGGATGCTGCTAAACATTCTGCTGTGCACAGAACAGTTCTCAAAACAAAGTATTAGCCAGTCCAAAATGTCTGTTGTGGTTGAGTTTGAGAAATAACGTTTAACCCTTTCTGCTTCCTAGACCAGCAAGGCACCCAATGCTAATGCCTTTTCCCCTATAACTTTAATGATTATGCCTAGGCTCCCAAATCCATCCACTAATTTGTTCCACTTACCCTTTAAAAACAATACACAGTACTAGCTCCTCAGGAATGGGAGGTGCGTGGAGGAGGGGCAGGCAGTGCTAAGAAGTGTTGGCTACAAAGGACGTACTTGGGGCGCTCTTTGGAATGTTATGAACGCTCCAAATATGGATTATGCAATAGTTATGCAAATGTAAAACTTGTTCAAAACTCATCAAACTGTGCACTCTGAATGAGTGTGTAACCTGTACCTCAATAACACTGACTATAAAAGAAGTTTTCTAGGTGAATTCTTTGTTGTTTGTTTGTTTGTTTTGGGGGGTTGTTTGTATTTTGAGACAGGGTCTCCCTATATAGTGCAGGCTGGCCTTGAATTCACTAGGTAGCCCAGGCAGGCTTCGAACTCTTTGGGCCTCAGAGTGCTGTGATTATAGGCATGTGTTGCTACTCCCTGCTTTTTCCTAGGTGAATTCTTGTGTAAATCTGAGGCTGAATATGACTGTTCTAAAGGACTAAATCAGGTCTTTTGGACCCTGGACAGGGCTGTGAAAGTGAAGGAACCTTGAACCTCACCTGATAGGGAGGAACCTTGAACAGGAGAGCTCTCCCCAAAGTCAGCACCGTTTTTGGACACAGAGCAATCCCAGCAAGTTGTGCCTCTACGAAGAGCATGCTGTTTTCATGAGGAACATAAGTGTATCGATTATCTGGGCTGGAACCAAGAAAATCCTAGCTACCTACCCCCTCTAGAGCTTGTTACATAAGAGCTACCACCTTGGGAAACTGCTTGACCAAGTGCAATTTTCCCTTCTGCCTCTCCCATCCTCTGAATCCAAGGAAAGGTCCCAGGCAAAAGGACAGTTAGAAATTTTCTGGAAGTTTAACAACTGTCCTATAAAAATATATGCACCCAACTTAGTTGGACATATGCTTTAGCTGTGCTTATGGGAGTTTATTACTTCCCTGTTTCTGGTTTCCTCTCCTTAGTTCAATATTGGTAATTCGTATCATTCAGATAGTAAATCATTAGATGACTTTGTTACACCACTAGTAGAGATATTTACTTAGTCCAGCAGTTCTGTGTGTAATATACAATTTTTCACCACTAGTTTTGTTTATTTTTGTCTCCCTCTCTCCCTTTTTCTCCCTTTCTCCCTCTTTCTCTCTTTCCCTCTCACCAAATCTTTTCCTCTATTTCTTTAGTTCATTTGTCTATGACTTGAACAGACTGCAACTATGCTATATTTTTTACTTTGTTATTTTCTTAACGACTATCCACCAACATATTGGTAGAAAAACCGCCCCTTTAGGAACTGCTTGGGGATCGACAGTTCCTCACATTACTCCCCACTGAGGTGCTTCTGGGTGGTGCCAATGGCCCGGACAGAAAAGTGAACAAGTTTGGGGCATTCAAGAATCTGGAACTGCACTTGGAGCTGTAGGTAAATGGGAGAGACTAAAAGAGATGGAAAGGCTCATGACCCCAAGGCTCATTTCTATAGTGGAGAGATACAGAGAGCTGGAATTATCTGCTGACACTGGTGCAGAAATAAAGCATCAATCTTCCTTAATCTCTCCACTTTTTCTTACTCACTTCCTGTCAGTGCCTAAGCCCTCCCAGAGCAAGGCAAAGTAGTGTTCTCCTCTCACTGGGCCTCTATTTGCAAGATTGGTTTAGAATCCTTGGCCCCTATACATGTGAATAAATTCATATACTCTTAAATTTGTATTTTCTTAAGATTTTGGTGAATATTAGGCTTTTTTTTTTTGATGTTAGGGGTTGAACTCAGTGCCTCAAACATGCTGGGCAAGAACTTTAACACTAAGCTATGTTCATAACTCCTATTGTCACATAGTTATTTTACAGAGATTCTACAGCTTATTAGCATGGAATTGTATAATATCTATTAATAGTGTAATGGTAATAAACCACGTTTCAGTTGCAATTATAATGAATGTGCTAACTTCTGCCTTGCTTGCATCTGTGTAACATGTTCCTTTGGTCCCGCTAAAATTTATTTTAGTATTTTTATTTACTATTGTATTCTTTCAAAAAATTTCTTTTTCTAACTATTTCTTTAGCTGGGTTTGGTGCCCTATGCCTGAATCTCAGCACTCCGGAGAATGAGGTAGGAGGATCATGAATTTCTTTTTCCTTC